GGAACTTCTTTTTGCCCTCCTTGTTCACTTTCCATCTTGTGAAGCCACAAACTGGGCAATGATCATCGTCTTCATGGTCCTTCCAAAATAAGGCACAATCATACTTGCACACATCAATACAAACATAAGCAAAACCAAGCTTCCGAAGTAGAGCTTTCATTTCGTTATAGGACTTAGCGAGGCCGGTCACATTCATCAAAGATGTCGAAAGCAACTCAAGGAAAGCATCGAACCCAGAATTTGTTATCCGATTGTACACTTTTATATGTAGCAGTTTAATAATGGAAGTTAGCCTAGATTCCTTGGTGCAACCTGGATAAAGCTCACGCTTTGCCTCTTCCATGATTTCTTTATATAAGTTACCACCAAAGCCATGGCTTGCTGCAGTGTGCAAATCTTGAATCAACCCTTGAACTCCCCGTGCACTATCTTCTATGACATCTTTAGCTTGTCCTTCCTCATCAAGTGTTGCCTGGTCATTTCCCTCCCATGACATATCTTCAGGTACAACAGTGAGTTCTCCATCATCATCTTATTCAACATCATCATCTCCGTCTCCATGGTCAATCCACCTTGTATAGTACCTAGACATACCATTGATTTCGATATCCTCCTGTACCTCATCTTGGCTTTTTTCTATTTGGTTCAGGCATTTTTGGCATGGGCACTTGATTTTCTCATATGCACTATATCTACTTCTGACATGTTCCATGAATTGTGCAACACCAGACAAATAGGGCGTAGTAAATGGGGCACTGTTATAAATCCAGCTTCTATCCATCTCGACCTGGGCGGCGCTGCCGCTGGTGGGGGGGATATCTCCACTGCCTCTCGTTGTATGAATTTCTCAAGAACTTCAATCAGAAGACGCTCAAATACACTATGGTGCTCCTACTTCTTGTCTTTGTACCCTATCTGTGCTAAAAACAAGCTAATGTTAGGGGAGGTTTTGCTGTTGATTCCATATACTGAAGCTTAGAAATCCCTACAGCAGTTCATAACTGGATGACGAATCATGAATGTATCTACATTTCATATGCAATTAACTACAATCGTTCATGATGTTCTTTTTGTAAGTGTAAGTTTCACATGGAACAAAACTTGTCTACATGTAAGATCAAGCTGCATTGTGTTGCAAGTATATGTTGTTACTGAATTCCAGGGGCGTCGACGTACTGGACTACAACTGGGCCACCCATGCCTCCAACTATTAGATTTGTGATGGAATTATACAAGAATATCAACAGGACAAAGCATGGGAGGTAGCCACTGCTTTGCTCGAAGAAATGAAACTAGAGGACTTCTCATCCTATAGATTGCCTAATTTTGGTTATAACACACGCTGGGTGGTAGCCACCGATTCTGATACGGCTGAAGAAATTAAGCCTGAGACAACATCATTTTTTTTGTTCTAATAACAAAAGAGGATGGGTAGCATCATTACCCACTAAAATATTCCAGAGATCTGCTGAGAAGCTTCGTGTACTGAAACTTTGCCTCTGTACTTTCAGCTTTTCTTCACCACGGGTGGCCGGCGCTGCTGCTTGTGAGGGTGGGCGGCGTTGTTGTTGGTGGGGGGGGAGGTGGCCGACGGGAGCAGGTGGCGTGCCTGGCCAGGCTCCACCATGGGTGGCCGGCGCGGCACGAGCGAGGGAGCAGCTGTGGTCGTCGGCCAGGCTGCCTCTAGGGGGCGCCGAGGCTGCTGGTGGGGGGGAGGGGGCCGGCGCTGCTGTAGGTGGCTTGGCCGGCCAGGCTCCAGCTAATTAGCCTTGAGTGCCATGTGGTCCAAAGTTTCAATGACATGCGGGCCCAACATGCTCATTAGCCTCCCATGTGGTGCAAACATCAATTCTTTTTTTGATCTATGGCAAAAACTTCTAACAAGTTTTTCTCTCATATACTAGCTCCAAATCTGATTTTTTTTCCTAAATTTTTCTAAAATCATGATCTATCAATGTATAGCGTTGATTTTGGCTCCATCATCATGTGTCAAAGTTAGAACAAATCAAAATTTGAATATAAAAAATTACAACTTTACACCACATTTTGAAACTCCAAATGATTTCAGCTAAAAAAATCACAAACATCAAAGTTGAACAACTCATCAAGACCTGCATTTTTTGTATTGGTCATTTGTTCATCCGAGAAAGTGGTAGTAACTTAGTTCATAAATTTTATATTCTCTCTTAGAGTTTCATGAACTATAAGTGAGAGATATAATTTCTATGAACAAAGTTATTGTCACTTTGTCGGATGAACAAATGACCAAAACAAAAATTGTAGGTCTTGATGAGTTGTGCAACCTTTGTGTTCATCACTTTTTAATTTGAAATTATTTAGTACCCCACATTTTTGTTAGAAGTTTGAATATTTTGAAATTCAAATTTCAAACTATCGAAACAAAGTCATATGAAGAAATAACCAAAACCAAATTGGTAGATCTCGACGCGTTGTACAACTTTGTTTCAGACATTGTTTGCATTTTCAATCGTTTATTAGCCAAAAAATCCATTTGAAGTCCTAATACTACTAAAACGGTCACTGACATAGTGGACCCACTACGGAGGACAAAAATGTGGCCAATTTTTCAAAGCTGCACCTCACACTCTCCCGCGTTGATTCGCTCGCCGACACATGGGCCCCACGACGCCTCCTGCTCAAGGCATCCAAGTTCCCCCCGCGGCCTTATCCTCTTGCTCGCGGGTCAGACCAAGGGGAAATCCCCAATCTCCTTTTGCTCCCTCCACTCGCCGCCACACCGCCACCACTCCGCTTGCCACTCACCGCCCGACGCAACTCCGCTGCCACCACCCCACCCGTCGCAACTCTGCCACCACCACCCCGCCCGCCACTCACCACCAGCCGCCACTCCGCTGCCACCACCCCGCCCACCACTCACCGCTGCCGCCACACCTCCCGCCGCCACCCATCCCAGCGCCACACCTCCACCGTGGCTGGATCTGCCCATCTAGTGGGCAACGCTTCCACCGTGGCTGGTAAGTAAATGGCCTTATTTCTTTGCCTTAGGGTTAGGGATGCAGTAAGATTTGGGGATTTTGATTTCTTGGCTCCAGATTTGGGGAGGAACAGAGGCTTCCTCTGGTTCATCGTCTTCTCATGTGCTTGATTTGATTTTCTAGCCACGACGCCTCCGCTGTGCGGCGCAGCCACACGAGCGGGCCCGGGAGGTGGCCGCCTCCTGCCACGGCACCACGCAATTAGTCTATGAAATGAATGATGCGTCCACTGTGATTAATAAAAAAAATACATTTCATAATGTCCGCAAAAGGATTCCCTCTACTGGTCTATGAATATTAGTAGCTTTGTGTTCTTCCAATCAGATGCCACTGCAGTTATTTAGCGACCAGTTCTGTGATGGCTAACCGAAATGTTTTAGCCCGTCTTATATATCAGTCCATGTTTATTGTCTTCATAGCTACGTTAATCATTCTGGTTCTCAGTTTTAATGTAAATAAGATATCATCTACCCTGTGAGTTTGTCAATTTTTCCCATCTTCTTCCCGTGTTCAGGAACTTGGTCGTTCTCCGGTTGCTGTGTAATAAAGCTTATATTGGAAGACATCATGTTTCAGGTATGCGCAAGACATGTTAGTTGCTTTCTATGTTGCCATATGTTATGCTCTGACATTTTGCTTTGCTTTCCTCTTTAACCAGTGCCAAATCTCTGCTGGGTTCATTTTCAAAAGGAAAAGAAGTGTATCTCAAGGTACCTTACAGTTTGCAGCCAACGCTTCCCTTCTCCCCTAACTTGTAGCTCCTATTACCTTTTGGCCTTGTTGTGTTATAGGTGATAAAATGTAAACAATCATTTAAATTGTACGTGTATGACAACACCAGTTATTAATCGTTAGTGCAGGACTGCTGGTTAGTGCACTGCCGTTTCATACTTGTTTTATTCACCTCGACATGCTAAACAAAAGAATTATGAATTTATGACATGTTTATTGAAATCTGATATTAGCTGCATCTACAGCCCATAGAAAAAGGCACCCCGACATGCTCTTTGTATCAAGATACACAAAGCAGTACGATATTAGCTCCATTTTGTTTCATTTACAATTTCAATGGTTTGACTAACTATTAGACTGCTGCTTTTGGTTCGTTTACAATTTCTCTACTGATCTGTTAGGTTTTTTTCAACTCTTTTACAGAAACTGAATCCAATTTCTGCTCTTTCTACATTTGGTTGTAATAAGTAATACAAGAAATGACAAAAACCAAGTACGAGCAGGAGAGGGATGCGAATGTAAAGGTTGTTCAGGAGGTTTTTAAGTCTTTCGGTATTGCGGTGTTAGCTCAGACTGTTAGTGATGTTTTTTCAAAATAGAAAGGGGGCAAAAGGAAGAGACTAGTATCTGATAATCCAGAATCTAACACTGAGTATGATCCTTCATCTGACATTGATAACCAATCTGACAGCGATGATAATTCTGATGATGACCTCAATAATGAGGTCAATACTGAGGTGGGATGGATTACTTGGACAATTAACAAGTTTCTGGTCTCTCCATTTGAAACATATATACTTCATTGTAGTTAATTAATCTACTTGACAGTTCTTTCATAATTAATAAGATGCATTTTTCTCTTGCCAGGAAAGACCAATGGTTCCAGGAACTCGCCTGTAGCAGAAGAAGCAAAAGGTGGCAACAATGGCGGCGGCGAACTAGCAGCCACCGTGCACGCCAACCAGAATCACTAGGCAAAGTGCAGCCATGCCTTCACCTGCAGGCCGTCCACCACCTAGGCCAAGACATCCCTTGCCTCCTAAGAACACTTTGAAAGCCAACCCAAAACCAAATGCCATTTCCAGTAGCAGCCAACTGCAAGGCCACCTCACTACAAGCGGCAGCCACACCACAGAAACTACTGACACAGTGCCTACTCCTCCAAGAGTCACTAGGACCAGTCCAGCCATGTCTTCACCTATTCCAAACACATAGCCTAGTCCTCCTAGATACACCAGGAAAAGTGTAGACATGCCTACGCCTGGTGCAAACACAATACCTAGTCCTCCTAGATTCACCAGGACCAGTGCAGCCATGTTTGCGCTTGGTGCAAACACAATACCTAGTCCTCCTAGATTCACCAGGTCTAGTGTAGCCATGTCTTCGCCTGGTGCAAACATTGAGCATAGTACTCCTAGAGCCACTGCTACCCTATCTCAGCAACCTACTCCCACAACTAGTGTTAACCAAGCAGTTCCTGCAGACACCTCACCAGGTGGACAGAGCTCTAGGCAAAGCAATGACATCAATGAGTCAGCTAAGCAATTTGATGCCGCTAATTCAGAGGGTCATACATATGAAGGAGAACCAAGCGATGACTTAGTTCCAGGTAAACAATACGAGTTTCTAAGCATTTGTTTCTCCATTCATTATCTACAATTGTTACTGCTTTAATAACACATTTTGATCATTATTTGCCAATGTAGTGCCCCAAAGAATGTCCACAAGAAAACCATGGGTCATGTCTTAGAGAAGATGCTAAATAGAGGAAAGAAGCTGGCTATCCAAGTGGCTGAAGGGAAGAAAAGACCTGATGTCCCACTTCAGGCAGCGAAGCTAGCATCAGAAACTGGTGTTGCCCTTAGAGACAACATGCCCATCTACACATCATGGAAGCTTTATGACAATGATGCGGGAAAGGCAGAAGTAAAAAAGTGCTTGACAAAGTGACGGTGAGATAGCTATTTCACCCCTCCAAATACTCTCTTGCATTACTCTACTCCCATGTGAAAATTTGTATCTAATAAATGATTTGTGTGGCTTAAGTCAAGGTTGGATGTGGATGTTAAGAATGAGGCACCAAGTAAAGCTGCATGCACTGATATCATTAAGAGGGGAGTAAGGCAGACGAGGTATCACCTGAAAAAGAAGTACTTCAACGAGTCACTAACAGAAGAACAGCTGCTGGCCAAGCAACCTCCACCTAAAATGAAGAAAGAGGAATGGACAAAGCTGGTAGAGTACTGGTGTGACCCAAAGAATCAGGTCCATGCCTGAATTATCTGCTTTTGTTAATATGCAATGCAAACTATGCATGTGAATGACAACTATGTATTGCATGTGGTGCAGGAAAAATGTGCTAAGAATAAAGTAAATCGAGCCCAAGTGCAGCTTCATCAAAGGACTGGAGCTAGGTCCTATATTGCCCATCGATACAGCCTGGTATGAATACTATGTCTTTTGTACATTTGTAGCTTAGTAATTACCATGTGCTTTTGAACTGTCAAGTTAGCACATGCTCCAATTATTTCTGAGATGAGCTCCCATGTTCATAATATTTGCGCTGTGCCGAGTGAGCTATAATCAATAGGTGTTTAGGCTCCAATTCTTTTATGGTGACCATTTGAAACTAAAATCTGCAAGAGGAATTGCTATGTCATCAGAGATGATCTTCATCAATAGTAGGTGTTGTTTAGGCCAAGTTATTATTCTTGATCTGTCCAGGTTGCATTGATGCATGTTCCTGTGTTGTTTTTCTTGAACTGTCAGTAATTAGTTGACTTTGCTAGTGATTGTATTTGTTGTTGGCATAAAAAATCTAGAGGCAAATACTTGTATGATCTGTAGTGTATACATATTTTGGCATCTTGTTGTTGTCATGTACAAATAATCTATGGCTAATCTTATATCCCAAGTTTTTAACATGCTGCAGAGGACTAAGTACAACAACATGGAGCCAGATGCTGTTGATTTCTTTGGGGAATGTATGAGTAGTCCCCAAAATGGTCGTACTCCTCTTGCAAATAAAATATATGTAAGTTACAAAATCAATGGATACATGCTTGTACTGCACTCAAGTAAATGCCTGGTTCAACACTGTTGTATGGCCTTGTTTTTAAGTGGATTCATTTTATGTAGGAACAAATGGTTGCAGAGAAGGAAAGAGAGCCAGAAGAAGGAGAAGAACAAAAGTCTCCCTCCAAGATTGTTGCTGACTGTCTCAGCTAGATTAGCCGTTCATCCACCTTCCTTCCTAACATTGGTGTCCCTCGACCATCGAAGACTGGCCGGTCCACATCGACAGCCGCACAAGCACGCCTGCAAGCTCAGTTTGAGGAAACACTCCAAGCAGAAAGAGAGGAAGCTGCTAGGAAGCAGGAAGAGTTGCAAGCACAGCTTCAAGCTCAACAGGCCGCACTTGAAGAAAACCAAAGTTTGCTGCGTCAGACCCAAGAGGAAGTGAAGGGGATGCATACCAAGTTTGAAGAGACTAACGCACTGCTACGAGTTGTCCTAAAACTTCAGAAAGATTGAGGTAGGTATGAATGCAGTGTCTGAGGATGATGCCTTTGCCTAAGCTTTTGCTACCTTGCTAGAACTTACTCTGTGGTTGGAACTTTGTCAGAACTATGTGCAATATGTTTGTATGTTTGAACCTTTGTGGTGGAACCTCTGTATGTTTGAACCTCTTGTGGAGGAACATGCCTGATGGAACCTGGAACTATGTGGTGGAACAAGTTTGTTGGAACATGTTGAACCACTGTCTTCTAGTCTTGAATTTATGTGTATGCATGATGGCTTGACTGAATTGTGTATGATTTATGACTTGTGATGAGAATGTTGTGGATGATGGCTTGGCTGATATATATGTGTATTATGCTTTTATGAGCTGTGATGAAAGATTAGTGTGTCGTCACTGAATATGGTTGCCACGCTCGTCATGAATGAGAGGACAATCTGTGACGCCATACAGTCGTCTCAAAATGTCTCTAACTACCATACAAAACAAGACAAAATCTAGGCGTCACAAAATCCACATACTTATATATGACATTTCTGTGTCATCAAAAAAACTTATCTGAGACTGTCCTCGCACGTACCATTTATGACATTTCGTACATTAGGTGACGCATTGACTGACCAATATGGACAGTTACAGTCGTCATAAAATATAACAATATGTGACAGAAAGACACAACCGTCACAAAAGGTCATAACATTTTGTGACGGTTCTCAATATTATCATCACAAGGTACATTATGTGATGGTCATTATATGACGACTGGCATGACGCTGCTTTTTTGTCATAAGACACTTTTTATGACCAATTTTGTACTTACCATGACAGTGTGCTTATGTCATATAAACCAATGTTTTTTGTAGTGATGTCCGGTAGGTATACCGGACATGCCCGGAATACGCAGAACAGAAACACTTTCTTTCTGTCCCTGGCCATACCGGACACGTCCGATGGTAATACCAGACATGGCTGGTAGGTGCAGGATAGACACAATTAATTCACTGCTTGTGATTCCTCGTTTAGCTCTAGTATTTATTGTACACTAGCATCTCAACAAATAAATTACTCTACTAGAGAGCTATTAAAAGCACCATATGGCAAACATGATAATTATCAAGTAAAACTAATTAGCCACTTTCAATTTTTCACAAATATGCCTATTTGTGAGTCATTGAGCACAAAACAAATGAAGTGACTATCCTATAAGGTTTAGGTACTTGTTACCAATGGCGAAGATGAAGTAAATGATATATTCATTAAATTATCTTCGGGTCAACCATATAAGAGATTATGATAAGAATTGGTTGATAGATTGAGTGAATATTATCAAATTGCTTGCTCAACCACCCTGATGCCTTCATCTCATCACCAAGTACCTACATCATTAACCTAAGCACACTTTGGTACCCAACTCTTGTTGGGTCCTTTTGGGTTAGTCAACAAGTGCTTAGGCACCCAAATGGCTTTAGCACTAGTTTGTGGTGAACACATCACCTTGCTAGTGCTAACTCCATTTGTGGTCTTCCTAAGCATATCATTATAAACAAATGTGTTCAGCCTAGGAGTGTTACCATTTGGGCATTCGTAGCTTAAATGCCCTTTCTTTTACAAGCATAGCATATACGGCCTTTGTTTGCTCTATGCTTGCTTTGCTTGTATGGACATCTATCAACCTTAGGGCCCATCTCATTGCATCCATAGCATCTTCTTGTTGCAACTTGGGCTTCCTTTCTTGCCTCTTTGTACATTGGGCATATCTTGGTAGGATGCCCCAATTTCTTGCTCATGAGACAAGCGCTTTGTCCATCACTTTTGTTTTGGTTGGCCAACTTGTTTGAGGCCTTTTGTTCGGCCACTTCACACTTGTCGGCCCAACTCTTGTGTGGACACATGGCCCACTCATGTCCATATAATCCACAACCATAGCATAACCTTTTTCCATGTTTCTTGCTCTTGGTTGTGTTGGCCTTGCTTGAAATGTGATTCTTTTGTTGGGTATCATGAGATACTGAGGTTGACTCATCACTTGGTCGCCACTAGGCTTGAGCATCGTTGCAAACAGCTGCTTGCTGGTCTGCTGCCTTGGCCATACCGGACACGTCCGATATGTGCAGGCAGACAGCAAGTCATGCGTTGCTTGCACTTCTTGTTCCGGCTCGGCGCTCTTGAGGTCTTGTGAGGCTTCTTCGCTGCATGAAGACACAATGGACATACTTTCCATTGACTTGATCTCAAGTGCATCATCACATTTGGATTTTCCATATAAATCAAAAAGTCTAGTCCAAATGAGATGAGCACTCTCCGGAGGTGGTTGTCTATTAAAGATTGCCTCATCTTGAACCTCTGCACTCAATGTACTCAACATGACATTAATAGCTTGAGCATTGAGTTGCACACATATCTCTTCCTCTTTTGACAAATTTTTGTAGTTGCTCCAATCAACTATAGGAAGAGTTATGCTTGCATCTACAATATGCTCAACAAGAGGACTAATATCCCTAAAAGTGTTAAGTACATGAATTGACCAAGATAGAAAGTTTGAACCATCATTTTGGAGAAGCACCGGCTCCAACTCGATAGGCGTCGACATCCTTTTCTCACGGCGGTGAAGTTTTAGGTGAGAACCTCGCTCTGATACCAATTGAAAAGACCTAGGATGCCGCCTAGAGGGGGGTGAATAGGCGTTTCTGAAAATTAACACCTTTAGATGCGGAAACAATTAGAAAAGGGAGTTTCCAAAATAGAAACTCCAAATTAAGAGTAATACCACCCCTCACAAGTTATCCATAGAGTAAACAAGGTATAAAGAATATATCTAGAAGCTACAACCCTGCAACACAAAGTTAGAACAGAGAATAAATATTTTTAGCACAGGTAGGAAATACCGGACGTGTCCAGTATACATGATTTCTGCAGAGCAGCCCCGAACTTGCTCCTTTCGATTTCTATCTTCAAACCAAACTGCAGGCACCTACTAGAGATGACAATATACACAGAGAACATGCACAAGAGCTAGAGCAACACAAATATAAAATGAAATGCGAATTGAGACACGATATTTGTCATTCGAGTCCTACTCTCAGTTGAGGTGGCTGCGGGCAACCCAGCGAAGGTCAGCCCTAGAGGGTACCACGAAGGTCACTCTAGCCGGAGTCTTTTCCAACTCTTTTTCCTCCTTCTACTAGTTGATTCCGAGGCAGCGGAATCAACCGTTACAAACTTTCCGAGGCACACCACAATCTCTCGGGTGCTCTCCGGCGATGCCTAACCATCTAGGACCGAAGAGTCCAAGAGTAACAAATGAGAATCATGAGATTGACAATATGCACAAGTGCTCAAGTGGTTGGATTGCTCTCTTTTTGAATTTCACTCAACCCACAATTTGATTTGGCAAATTTGATCAATCACTCACTAAGAGAGGGTTGGGAGAGTTGGCATGGCTCAAAAACATGTGTGTGTATTAGCAGAATCAGCAGCCTCCAAAGGTGGAGGCTTGGGGGTATTTATAGCCCCCTTGAAAAAACTAGCCGTTTTATAGCCGTTGCCATACCAAACATACCGGACACGTCCGGTACGACTTACACTGCCCCAATGGTATCTAAGTTACAGAGACAATGTGAGACGTCGAAACTCCCGATGAATGCCGGAACTCCTGACCGTCAGAACTCCCGACTCAAGTCGGAACTCCCGATCCTCAGCATATTTAAGAACTAAGTAACTGAGTTGATGTTTGTGAGGTGTCGGAACCCCCGACGCATGCCGGAACTTTCAACCGTCGGAACTCCCGACCCTTAAGGTATTTGAAAACTAGCCATTGGCCTCTGGTCATCCATACCGGACATGTCCGGTGTGAATACCGGACACGTTCGGTATGACCAGGACAGTGAACCCTCTAAGTCAGTTAAGCGTGAAACGTCGAAACTCCCGACCTATGCCAGAACTCCCGACCGTCGGAACTTCTGACTCACGTCGGAACTCCCGACGAACCAACTCGAGATCAATAAGAATTTTATCGTGGCTTGGCATATACCGGACAGGTCCAGTATCAATACCGGACACGTCCGATATTTCCAGACCAGCAAAACACAAGTTAGCTCTTTTGTCTCTCAAACACTCAAAACTTACATGGGTTGGTTTGAGCACTTATGAAACATTATCTATCAACATGATGCATCCCTCTTAATAGTACGTCATTCCTATTAACTCAAATTTAAAAGTATAACGAATTTAAACCTTTTGAGTTGATCTCTTTCAACCGAAGCCATGTATTCTAATCTTCATCAAGTGAGGGTGATAACATGTCAACTTTGATCTTTTTCACTTGAGCATAGGCATCTTACCACGTGACTTGATTCCATTCATCAAATATGAATAACTCCAAATGCATCAAGTCACTTCAAACACTTTGTTCAATATAGATTTGATCCTCCACATCAATATGACCATCGTAGCTTGATTAGTACCTCAACTAAATACAAGTACTTCCTTCTCCACCCTAGCTAGGTTCTTTGGCCGCCAAGCCGTCGCTTGCCCTTCACCCTTGCTTAGTACCTCAAAGCCTTTCCTTGCTATCTTCACCATCTCAAGCCATCAAGTCGCATCTTGTGTTGAATCATCCATTCATTTGTATTGTTATCTTTTTCATTTTAATTTAGCAAGCTTCAAATATGAGACCATTCCATATGCAATCCCTCATGTCTCATTAATTAATTCTTACGAGCTTGCTTTCACATAGTACAAGGAAATCCCACAATAAATAAGCCTTTGTATGAATTCCATTTGCATTGTTGTCTTGTGCTTGAACTAGATTGTTTATACAACAACACATCATTTTGGCTTTCATTAAGAACTGGTGAGATAACCTATTACCTGTCCACACTTAGCAAATGGGTTAGACCTTTAATCACGTTGTCATTCAATCATCAAAAACCCACTAAAGGGCTAGATGCACTTTCAATGCCTTCCTAGGACCCCGACCGTCCCAGGAGGACCTGCGCTGCCTCACCTTCTCGTT